GTGGCAGTAGTCGCCAATCAGCGCTTGCAGCTTCAGCGGCAGGCTGGTCAGGACGACGACCTGGTACTTGTCAAACTGGGAGAGGTTCTCGCCCAGGCTATGTGTGTTAGCGTAGTCTCACGGGAGGGCATCCTAACTCACCTTGACGACTGGTGGACCTTGACGGGGGTGTATGCGTTCAACTCGGCGACTCTCGGGGCGGTGACCTCGTCTCTGGGCTTGCCCACATCCTCGGGGTGCAGGAAGAACTGTGAGGACAGGTCGGCGAGGGCGACCAGACCGGGGTCGTAGAGTGTGAGGCTCTTGACGCCGGCAAGGGCAATGTTCTTGGCGATCTCGACACCCAGGCCCTTGAGACCGACAATGAGGATGTTGGAAGCGCCCATGCGCTTCATGGCCTCGTGGCCCAGCACATAGAGCTGGCGACTGTAGAGCGACTCATCGATCTCGGTGTTTCCGACGACGGAGTCGTCGACCTGCATGCGGGTCACCAGGTCGACCTCCGGTAGCTTCTTATCCTAGGGAGTCTCCAAGTCAGCGGCGCGATGCGTTGACGATGCATGGACGATGCGGGGTATGTAGACGGCGGCGATACGGCGAGGGCAACGTACAGCCATGGTTTTCTTATTGGGATCAGGTGTCTCCCCGTTGGAGAGTTTGCGCTTCCCCAGCTTGACGATGCCGGACCGGAACGTCGTTTGCTATGACGTGGAGGGAAACACGGGCGGCGGGTGGGACGATGAAGCTTCCAACCCCACCAAACAAAGACGTGTGTGTTCGTGTGTTCGTATAGTGAAACCGCGGTTGGGTCTCTCGTCGTTCGTCAAGGTTGCAGAGAGTGTGTCGCTGCGTTTCGTGGGAGAGGTAAAGGGAAAAAATGCACCAGGCAAGAAGCGTCGTGTTGCAGTTGATGTGGTTGTGCAGGAAGAAAGAGCAGCCTCGTTTCTGGTGATGTAAAGGTGGTCGTGGAGCCGGATGTGGAGGTGTCGACGAGGGGCAGGGGTGCGCCTGGGTTACCTCACGTAAGGCGGGCGATGCAGGCTGGCTGGCGCTGTGAGGTAGAGGGAAGCTCCACTGGGCGATTTCTAAACATTGCCCCTCAATGCATTCAGCAGTAAGTAATAAGGTACAGCCTAAGACGGCCTCAGCGAAGGTGAGGCAGTGTCGTCTGTACTGTGTATACATTTCTTCCAGTAGATTGCATGTGTGCCATCATGTATCGTAGTAGGCGACTCCTTTGCGCACGGTAAGAAATTACTGTGTGCCAGTTTCTCCGAGAATCTACCGAGTTCCATCACCACTTGAAGTCGACCTGGACGTGAGTCCCAGCTTGGTTCTTTGGTTTGAGTAGGTCTTCGAGCGCAGAGGTTCTTCATGCTGTTTCTTTGTAAGGGTCATATTGGTGTCTACAATATACTACTATATTGCCCAAGGAGGTTGATTCTAGCAACATAAAGATGTTGACACTGGTTAGTGACAGGAATTAAGACATCGATTCAAACAGCAAATAAAATCAAATGTAACGTCCACCAACACGTGTAGACTCGTTGAATTCCTCAAATGAAAATCAAGACGTCTACCATCATGATTTTTATTTTTTCACGACTGGAAAGTCTGGTACACGTGTGGAATGGCGCATATCATGTTCTAAATCTTCTTTTCACTTAGACAGCACACCATGCGCAGACATGTCATAGTCCATGGACGTTATATCTGCGCTCCTTCATAGTTACTGACGAGCACTCATACACGGTTGCAGCAGGGCATTCGTTGGAAAGAATTAAAGATGTAGCAGATCAAGATCACATGAGTACGTGTATCACCAGCACCACATGCCGTGTGACGTGGGCACCGTCCAGACTCTGTCGCGCACGCGATCCGGCAGATACACGGAAACATTCACACTAATTGACAGTAAAAGCGTTGTTATGCGGTAGTTGAAGAGAGTATATTTGGGCTCGAGCATGCTCTGGGAACTGTACTATCCACCCTCTAAGATAGGCTGCGTGGGCCTACTCCATATCATCTTTCCAGCTAACCACTTGCGCGAAACGAAGTAAAGCTTTGATGCTTTACTGGACCTTCTTGAGCTCAACGTCGCTATGGGATGTGGTTAGCCAACGACGCCTTGGTGCTGACATACAGCTGTCATCTCCCGGGTCAACTTACAAGATGAGGTCGGCGTTGGGGGGAATGTGGCCGGTGAAGCCGCTGTTGGGGAACATAATTAGCATTAATTGGTCGTCATGGTAGCAACAGATGCCTGGCATGGCCCTGGGCACCGTTGATGGTGAGTATTGCTTACCGCTCGCCATAGGCGAAGTCACTGCAAAACACACGTTAGCCAAGTTCATTGTCTTGCCGTACGCTGTACAAAGCCATTCCACTGAGGACTGTAGGACAGATGTTTCTTACCTGGTGATGTCGAGAGTAGCCTTCTCGCCGACGTTCATCTGGGTGACACCCTCATCCCAGCCTGCATTCATGCGTCAGTAAGCATCCAGTTCCGCATCACCAGCATCGTGTATGTATTCGAAGAAGCCCGAGGAGGAGAGGAAGGGAGGGAGGACGTAGGTAAGCGTCTCGGTGCAGACATACCCTTGATGACCTGGCCGACACCAATTCTGGTGACAAAGTCGCCGCGGCCGACCGAGGAGTCGAACCTGGCAATTGAGCACTCGTTAGCATAACATGCGAGGGAACAGAGACGGGCGGGGTGGAGGGGTTGTTTGCTCACTTCTTGCCCTTGTTGTCGGGCTGGGAGGTATCCTTGAGGAAGCCAGTGTACTCAATGGTGACAGTCTGGCCGGGCTTGGGGATGGCGCCGGAGCCGGACTGGTGAGTCGTCTTGGTAACACCCATTTTGTCGGTTGTGATTTGTGAAGTGATTGAATTGTGTGTTTGTGGTGGTGATGTTGGTGGGAAAGAATTGCAGAGAAGGAAGCTGAGGGAAGCTACTGCTTTAAAGACAAGGGCAGCAAAAGCAGGTAGAGGGAATCCAAGTGGGGTTGACAGAGGATGGAGGGGTAAAATCGCAGAGGGCAATGGTCCAGTAGTTTGGAGGGGGCAGAATGCAGCCTGGCGCTCTACATAGTTTCGTCACCTTGCGATGGGAAGGAGCACCTTATGGTACCTTACGGTGAGGCAAGGAAGGGCCACCCAATGTATCTATGTCATGTATCTATCTACCTTACATCCTAGGTAGGTTTACCGGTACTGAGAAACGAGGGGATATCGAACCGAACCAGGCATTGCGACAAGCAGAGGAACGGGGGGGAGGTCGACTCGCGCGCATCGCCTCGAATTGCGGTTGCGTCGGTGAGGTGCTCAAACCAAATGGAAGGGAAAAAAGGTACTTGCCGCCCCAGCCAAGGGACCCGATGACGAACCCGGGCTCTTGGTTGCGGAGACTTGTAAACGCTGTAACCTTTTGCCTGTGTCGCGCCGAAAAGTCTACTCCTCGCCTGGGTACCGTTACCAAGAAACAGAGTCCGCCGTGATGGGCGATCCCGAAGCCAAAGGTCCCCGCCCAGCGAGCAGAGGTACCTTGCCGACCCCGCCAAACAGCCGGCTGTGCCTTACCTTACGTCAGGGCGGCCTGTCAGAACAGTAGGCGCGGGCGGCAGCGGACAGTTCCTCAACACCCTCAACCACCAGAGTTTAACCTCGAGCGTCCAACAACTCCCGGTCGTCCTCGCTTCACCTTGCGCGTAACCTTTCCGAGGTTCCTGACCTAGGTAAAGTACCCGGCCAAGGACTGGTTGAATGCTTGTGCGCGTGTACCTGCAAGAAGCTTTGTGTGTTTGTATCAGCGCAACACAGCACTGGGGATACCTTTCACTACATGCTCAAAATAATGATTAGAAAATCACACAAAAAGTTGGCAACGGCTACCGCAACTCTCCCACGCACCCCTGGCAATCATACCAAAGGTCAACAGTTCACCCACGCGGTGGCTTGCGTCGATACGTCAACCTTATCCGTGTTGCTCACCTTCAAGCAAGGTACCTCAGATGCGAGTCACATCATCTCACCGCCCAAGCACATACCGTCAATCCGGCTCTCCCACGTCTGGAAAAGCCCCAAACGTAGCTAGCCGTCGAGATTCGGCCGCTCGCGCTGATCCCGCCGCTGAGATCCATGGTTCAGCCGGCTTTCCATCGCTTCTGACTGGTCATCATCACCACCGTCCGCCGTCCTCGCCGCCGCCTACGCAGTATTGCTCTTGCGAAACTTGCGTCTCCCCCCGATTTCTCCGCTTCAGTCAAGCCCACCTCCCGTCGTCCCCATTGTCAAAAGGCTGCATCGCGACGTGCGGGAATTGCCCCTCGGGCAGACTAGCGTCCAAGCGCTAATACGTCGTCCTGCAGCGAGCCTGCGAACGAGGGGTTGCGGCTTTGCGGCTTTGCGGCTTGCCCCAGTTCTCACCTCCCGGCCCTGCGTTGCCCCTCCATCCCATCGTGCTATTCGCAGATCAACGCTCGTCCAACCAACCTGGTGTCGCTCGCTGCCGCCGCCGCCGCCACTCGTCAACGTCCAAAGCCAGCCTGAGATTTCGTCGTCGGCATCCAACTGCACTCAAGACGTTGTTCGTCAGCATGTCTCTCGGCCACTCGGCCGGTTTGTATACGGTCGTTGGAGTCCACGGCGCCACCCAGCCCTGTCACAAAATGATGGTGGACGTCGAAAATGACAGGAAGCGGATCCCCACTGCGTCTGCCAACCACCTCCATCATATCCCGCGAGAAAAGGCACGTCGCGGGACACGAACGGCAGAAAAAGAAAAGACGAGGTGGATTTCGTCGGCTGGGGCTTTCTCGTGGAGGCGTCAAACTCGACGCAAATGCTCCTTGGTCTTTGGTCTTTGGTCTTTGGTCTTGGGCGGCGGGCACACAATGTGACTGCTCATATCCGTCTGCCATATGCATATGCATCTTTGCGGCTTTCGCAATACCGTTCTGGTTATGCTTGCGAAGAGCCCGCCATTCATCGTCGCCAATTTAGGGCCAGGCTGACAGGATCCCGAGCTGCTCCACGGCCTCGCGGCGGAACACTTCCTGCAGACCCGGTCCCGAGCAGTCGTCAAGGTGAGAAGGCAGCAAGAGTCCATGCATTGCAGAAAGCAAGCCGGATGAAGTTTCCAGGGCAGCGAATTCTCGCCAATGACTGCTTTCGCAAGCCGTGTAATGGATGCTGGACACGGCGGCTGCAGCTCCGACAAGGTATATATCTTCATGCTTCCCAATACCGTCCGATCTGCACATTGTTTGCTCCTTCTTTGCATCAAGCCGGTGCACCATGATCGAATGCAGCGGGTTCTTTTATGATCGAGAGACGAATGACATGTATTTCTGTCACGCGTCACATGATCCTGATGAACTGCTCAATACATCAATAACCACAGCTTGCCCACAAACCTGAAATGCCATAAAGGGCGTCGACAGAGCACCGTGAGCAGTCAGAAGCGTATCTGTTCTCATTGTCACAGTTGGCACATGGCAGTCGTTGACTCTCTGTCGACGTGAAGGCAATGAGGCTCCGGTAGTCGCTGAAATGACACTCGGCCGGGCAGGTACCGGCACTACGGTCTGAGCCGACCTGCCGACCTGCCGACCTGCCGTCCGCTCCGTCAATCTCCACACCTACCGGAGGCTCCGGCGTATGCCACCTTCCTCTCGGTGCCGGCTCTCTGACGAATCGGCCATGGCATCCGTTGGCGCCTCGAATTCAGAGTGCATACCATACCTGACACGAGCGTCGCAAGATGTAGAGTGCCCAACGAACACTATGAAATGATGAGATCCCTACCCCTGGAATCCTCGATGCCACAGGCTGAACAGAGCGTCGCAGAAGAAATCAGTGGCCTGGCCGAGTACGAAATCATCGCACGTAGGCGACAGGGAAACACGTGGCTGAAGCGTCCGGTGCCACAGCAGCCCTCTGGATGAGCCTGCAACGGAATCCCTCATTCCCATCACATTCCATCATCGTACTCTGCTGTCATTTTGAAACACACAGTTAGAGCCGTGTTGGTTTTTTGCCAGTGTTGGGGACGAGGCTGCCGCAGAGTTCATCCCGACATCTCAAACATGACACCTGTGCAGCATCACCCGCGAGTCGACTCTGCGGTGCTTCGCGGGCGGGAGCACGTGCAGAAAGATACGAGACGAAGACTCGATACGTGAGAATGCCTGGGTCGTCATGTTAGTCCTGATCTCATGTCAAGTCAATCTTACCTGGGGTTGCATCAGATTCCCGTGAATTCTGCGAACGGCTGCGGCTCACACCCCAGAGACATGGCCAAACACCCGTGAGGATCATAATATGGCAAATACAGCGAAGATTTGGCTGCTTGGAACGGAAGACATTGGTCGGTAATATGAAGCTGCAGGCAATAGAATGATCGGCAGGTAAACAACCCCCCCTTTCACTTTTCAGAGGGAGACTGACAAGCACTCCCCAGCACATCTTGAAACACCTTGGAAAATGCTGCAATGGGTCCCAAATTCGATTTTCCAGCTGTCCAGCATGTTACCAGGGTTTCAGGGTGTGTAGCCCACATTCTCAGGTGCGGCAAAGCCTCGGGAGCCTATCCGTAGAGGGAGGGAGAGGGCAGCAGCCGTCAGGTCGCACTAAACAAAGGAGAAGGCGATTTCGAATCGATTTCGAAGCAAGACACAGCGTTGCGTGGATAGCCGAGACGCTGGAGGTGACGAAGGGGTCTCGAACTCTTGATGCCGTGGTCATAGCGTCTCCCTGGACGCCGCCAGGAACTGAAATTCGTCACTTTTGGACTGGAAGCTTTCCCTGGAGATTGGGAATGAGGGCACGTAGCTGTTCAAGTTAGCTCGAGAGCCACGCTCACGCCGTGCCTTTAGTACCTGACGCACCAACGATAGCGCATGTCTTGGTGCTATTTTGACTCAGCCCGGTCCGCTCGCTAGCGATGGTGGCACGCGAAGTTGGCAGACACAGTCGATGCCGTTGGAGCGGGAACCGCCACCGGGACTCGGGGGCCGGAGCGGCAGCTTCAGTCTTCAGAGGCGTGCCGCGTACGGATACCGTGCCGCCAGTGAAGCAGCAATTGATGTGACTTCATTTCGATGCTTGCTGTGGCTCCCGTCCAATGGCTTCTAGAGTGACGGGTGCCGATGGAACAGACACTCTGGCACGTTGATGACACCGCCGCTTGAAGCTCGACGATGTGACGCGACACAACACGAGACGGGCCGGACGGCAACTTGCGGATAGGCGAGGAATGGGAACGGGACATGGCTGTGGCAGAAGAGCAGAGAGACAAGGCATGCGAGTGCTGCACAGCCTCAATCTCTCGTGTATTCAGGAGCGCTGTTCCACCGACCCTCATTCCCTCCTCTCATGGCATTGCTTCAGGATTCAATCACTGTCCTGCACCTGTGACGACACTGGGGGAGGACGAGAACTGAACATGGGCCTGGGCACCAGATTCCGAGCCCCGGGCTTGAGTTCCACAGAGTCGGATAGAGCATTCGTGTCACGGCCATCGAAGCCCTTCGAAAGCCAGTACTCCGTCTCGAACAGATGATGGGGCTCTTTTGTGCCGATTAAGTTGTTCCAAGGCTGACGTCTGAGTGTTCCTGCGGCCCTGAGCAAGGAGTCGCGTGTGCAACTCGCGTGTAACTGTAAACAATCCAACTGGCCCGGCATGTATCCCGGTGCGCGAACCCGCAGAGACTGAAAACCAAAGAGAGGGATAAAACAGCAAAAAAGCTTCGATTTTTTCTTGCTTGCTCTTTACCCACGTGGAGAAACACACCATCAATGGACGTTGCAGGGTGATCCTCGATGGCTGATCAGAAAGGGCGAGACCATTCGCTGGGCTTGCGTGCCCCCCAGTGCGTTCTGATCAAAGCTTTGGGTGACTGGCTGATCGGCGGAGACCAACCCCACTTGACGAGTCGCAGAGATATTGACGGCGGCCGGTTTGCCGGTACTGAGACAATAACGCCCAGTTGGCAGGTTTCCGCCAGCCCTGCGCAGCTGCGCCCTCGTGCCATCTGTACGAAGACATGGGCATCGAGAAGGTTTTCGACTTGTGCACGAAATCGAGACTCAGTGTTGATGGTCTTGATTTTCCCAGAGCCTGGGTCGTTGTGCATCGTCGTCTCGCTAGAGCTCCAAATCTCGTCTGTGGCGTGCGTTGGTGCGGTTATGATTAAAGGCTCAAGCCCACGTCCATCAACGGGACATTCGAGACAAGCTAACGACACCGGCGTCGGCTCCCATTGGGCGCGTGTTCTCAGCCATCCACACCATCGCATGGGGAAGGTGGAAGTCGAGCAGGGATGGCGCCGACGGGAAAGGGACGAGATCAGGACGCTCCAACGGTAGCCCTGCTGGCAAGCGGTACCTCGAATAAGCGGGTTTTGGGCCTGTGATCGAGTATCCGCTTTGTACCGCTTCGTCCTATGGCCCGATCGAGGACCAACAACCGCCGCTTGTTGGAACTTGGAAGCGTGCTGAACACAAAGCGCGTGTCGTCGACCCGCCGTTGAGATGCCAATCGAGGCGCACTGGTATGGCGGTTGTATCATTGGCATTCGACTCTGATGAAACGTCGAGAGCGATGAGAGAGTCGAGTTTACTCTCTGTACGATGTTAGTGGTCCAGATTGTCGAAAGGTGCCATGCGAATCGGAGTATTGGACGCTACGCGAGTGGTGACTCTGGTGAGGGCTACTTTGTACAGCATTATTGATTCTTGACTGCAGGTGGCGGGCGGCCTGAGCACATCAACTCCCGAGCACGGCAAGCGCAATCTATTATGCTCATAAACATCAATTTAGGCGTGATGCCGGGTTGCAACGGCAGCAACGCAACGTATCTCTACGCCCCGCAATACTGTCAAGTTGGACGACTCTTGACTCTATTCGTACAGTCCCGGCCAAGGAGACAGGTCGAAAGCGTCGCTTGTCAAGTTGTCTGTGTGTCCAGCGTTGCCATGGACCTGGGGACCACCTGCAACCCTAGAGCAGTCACAAGACGTGGGCTGCTAGCGTTGGAGTGTTGCAGGGCGGAGGTTGACGAGGGATTTCCACAAGAGGATGTTGTAAATGCAGATTGCCTCCGATTATCATTTCGTCCGGGTTGGGGTTCTTCCAGGACACATCTGTACATGGTATGCGTATGGTTACCAAGTGTCGTCAATCATACTCGGGTCTCTCGAGGGCAACGATCAACGGCGGGACTCGGTCTGGACTGTCCATCTCGTCAGCTAGCCCCACGGATCCATGTTTGTGCAAAGAATTGGAGGGGGATGATGGATCTGCGCCGTTGGTGGTTCTGAGCTCTGACTCTGGTGTGTTTGTGCTCGTTGAACAGCTGGAGGGCCGATGTGTGCATGCATTGGTGCAGGTTTGTGCAAGGCCACGGAAGGGAACGCGCCTTGGAAAGGTGAGACCAGGGAGGGAATAGCCCGCATTGGCAGTTGCCCACCAGTGACCACGCACCTGCCCAGTCTTTGCAAGTTGCCAGTGGCCCAGAGAAAGTGCCCACTGCGTGACTGCCCACCTGGAAAAGCCTGGAGAAGGAATCTGGGAAGGAGGAGCGCCCCCCGGTCTTGCCCAGTGACCTCCCCCGGCAAGGGTCTGCAGGGGTTGAACGGCGCAAAATTGCCCGTAGCGTCGCATCACCGAGATTTGGCCAATGATCTGCGCTCGCTTGTCAGATTTACCCCTGTTAACCGACCCACCTGGCACGGCCTCGAAGGAGCAACAAGCCCCGGCAGAGGACGAACAGGGCCAAAGTTGACAGCAAGGCCGATGGGAAGACCTTGAAAAGGGACTTGCTTCTTTGCAGAAGTAACCACCCAAAAAGCAAGTATTCAATATTGGCGAGGGCGGGCAAGGGCCTGGGTCTCCTCTACTCCACTTCCGACCCACCTCACATCATCTATAGCTGCGCGGTACGTACCCGGCGGCAGCCATTTCTGCCCATTTTTAGCCCGTGCCCCGAAAAAGCTAAGCCCCTCTCTCTCTCCATTTCCTGCGGGCAGCGGCTGCTCACCACCTTGCACATCGTCCGCACCTCAACTTCCAGTGCCGCTCAGCCAGCAGCCAGCTCCAAGCAATGCAACGCGGGCAACAAACCACCGTCTGACGAGTTTGCTTGCCAGCAACGGCTGTGGTGGACTTTGTGCGGTACATACAGCACAGCACGGCACGGCACAGCACAGGAACGGTGAGCCAACGTTTTCTCCACACCACCTTGCCTTCCCGCCCTCCTACGGAATGGTGTGCTCTCCAGACCATTACTGTGCGCACTGCAATAAGGCGGACCATGAGTGCCCGGGCTGCTGCTTGCCAGCTTGGTGCTGTACGAATATCGTGTGCGGACTACCGGCGTTGGCCAGTGATCAGGTACGGAGTACCGCACGTTGGAGTCTTGTACTGGCTAGTGACTCGTTCCCCTGGCCGTCGACCTGAGAGCTGACCGTTCCGACCAACAACCACCAGAGTCTAGAACAGGCACACGGACGAGCACGCCATGACAGAGGGACCTCGACGGTAGACCATGACCAGAACAGCAATGTCATTTCGCGAGATTTTCCCACCCGTCCCACCGTGGACGTCCGGCAGTGATGGCGGACAGGGGCAACACATGGTCAACACTCATCAATGCACCGTCGTCAATGTTAGCGTTTTCCGGTGAGAGTCGAGAGTTTGGCTTCCACTTGACTATTCTGGACGACATCGAGTCCAGGGTACTATCAAATAGGGAAACAGATGCGCACGATGCGGCACCGTCCAACAACACAGTCCAAGTCGGTCTCTTGAGTCTAAAAGTCGGAGAGGCCACCGGCCCGTCTGTTTGCCAAAAATAATACATCACGTTCACGTCTGCAAGATTCGGGGGGAGGGAGATCCCGGGTCTACGCGCTTTGCTCACAATGGGGATCCTCGCCTTGACTAAACAAACCCATTGGTAGAGGCCATACGCCGCAATGCTGCAGAAGTGCAGCGTTCCAGCCGTTTGTTGGGCTGGGACGAGAGTTCAGCCGTGACGGTCGAGTCGCCTTGTCTTTCATCTCGTCTCTGGGCAATCGTCCATTCTACACAAACCCAATCCGACAATTTCGTCCCAGCTCTGTTCAGGGTTGGCTGGTGTATACTGCGTATGCAACGAAGAGGAGAGATGCCTCTCGGACGACAACCCGCCGTCCATGTGCATTGTCAGTGTAGGTGAGGCTTTTACGAGACTCGTCGGTCTCAATCCTCAAAATGGCATCCGTTTGGCTCCAAAGAAGTGTCCGTCAGCCCTCAGGACCCAGTCAGAGTCAGTGAGACTCAGACTGACTTTGCTGTGCCCAGGGGAGTTGCGTAATGGTCGGGCGACGTCGGCTGTCCCTCTCGGCCGTGGGCGCTGACGGGGATGTAATACTTTGTACACTAAGGATACGCATAACTCGTACCGGCTGGGGCTAGCTGGCATAGGAAAGGTACTCGACGGCGGTCTTCAGGTGTGGTGAGAGTAATAAGATGACGGGCCGGAGAGGCACCACAGTCGTCGTACCACACAGGTCAAGCCATGCCGCCTGCGTGTGTGCACAAAGTAAGGACCAGTAATTATTCTTACGAATAGTGTAGGTAGGCAAGTCGTGCACTTGTGCCAGCTGGGCCTTGACTCACCTGCAGGGCCTCATGAAGGGTAGTAGGTAGACTGTTGGTGCCATGGTAAGGTAGTGAACTTGCGAAAAAAGGGGGTTGACGCTTGGGGACGACGGGAAGAGGAAAAAATAAAATCGAGTCAAATGTACCTTATCCCGTACCTGAGGTGCACTACTTGTGGACGTCTTAGCTAAGACAAGTACCTTATTGCCTTGGTCACTGCAAGAAAGTACCGCACACCCCCCTGCACACCCTCGAGTTCGTGCCTGGACATATTAATTGCCTTCGCGCAGTACAGCCCAGCAGTGCCCGGCTTGGTTCCTCTGCCATTCCAGCAGCCAGCAGCCAGCTCCCGTCCCTTCTCCCCCCCTTCAGCACCGCGATCAACCTGGACCAAGGTACCTGTGTACGGAGTACGAGGATCAGGTACTTACCCACGAGTGTCCTTCACACGTAAAATAGCCGATAAGATACCTTGGACTTCGTACCCGCCATCCCATCACCACCCGCCCGGTCCATGCTGGCCCATCCCATCTCGTCCCCTCCCTCCCTGACGGTCGACCTGAGCCCTCACCACACTCCTCCTGGACTCCTCCCTCTACTCTCGCTCTCTCTTGGTTCTCTTGGTCTTTCTGCTGCCACCCCCGTCCGTCCTGATCAACCCCCCGGTCTCTCGTCCCTCGTCCCTTGTCGTGTGTTTCCATCAATCAATCAATCTCCCATCCTTCGCTGCCTCGTCCATCCACATTCCTTCTTGCGTCCCCTTCCATTCCTTTACACCACCCTCGCTTTTTTCTCTCTTCCCTTCCCTTCCCTTTTACTCCTCACGCTCGCTCTCCTCTTGTCGCCCCCACCTCTCTCCCGACCTCGTCTCTTCGACAGTCGAATTTCGACATCCCCTCGCCTCCGTCAAGAATTCATCCGGCGACGTCGAACCTCCTCTCCGATTCTCAACCTGCGCCTCCTCACGCCGTGAAAGGGGTCTTTTTTGCCGTCGAGCCGACCTAACCGCCCCCCTTATGTGCTTTGGACGCATTTGAAGATCGTCGTCGAGGTTCCGCGCCGACAACCTGCCAGTTTCCCCATGCATTCGACAACGGGAACTGCCATAATCTCAGCCGACGTGACGGATCAATAGACGTCCTCGCCCAATTCAATCCGACGATATCTCGTCGAGTCACTCATTTCACACACCCAAAATCCCAAACGCCATCACGCTCATTGACAATTCCTTGTCAAGTACATTCGTTCCATAACACCCTGACAAAGTGAGTTGCCAAGGAGTCTTGCGAGCATCGAACCACTTACTAACACGGAATGGAGACCTCCATCTACTAAACACCAATATTGGTATCATTACAATCGCTAAAGACCTTCAATTGAATATACGATAATCGGGAAACGAAACCATGCACGCAATGACTGCTCTTCTGGCCGCCGCCCTCGGCCTGGCCTCTACTGCCTGCGCCGAACAGGAACGACCCAAGATTTACTTTCCGCGTCACGTTAAACGACAGTTTGTGAATTCGACGAGTACGAGACAAGAGACGTTCCCTCCGGCCCCCGAGAGCACCACTTTCCAGTCCACCGCATCGGCCTCCATCAGCTCGACATTTGGTGACATCCTCACCAGCCTTTCGGACTCTCTCTTTGGCTCATCGTCGACCGTTCCCACGCCGTTGCCGACTTCCACAATCTCCTCGGCCCCCGAATCCGCACCCCCGACGACAATCTCCACCACAGTCTCGACCCTCCCCGATGGGAGAGTGACGACTGTGATCATTTCGAGCACCGTCATCTTCGACCCGACAGAGACGACTGAGACGACAAGCTCCGCCGTGCCCACATCTACTCTGCCCCCGGTTACCGTTCTGCCGACGACCAGCGAAACCTCGACAGTTTCCAGCGAAGCCGCCTCCACCTCGCAGGCTGCCGCAACCACCCAGCCCACAGCGACGACCCCCGAGACCACCACTGCCGCCGTTCAGTCGAGCGCCGCCGCGACCTCTTCCGAGGCTGTTCAATCCTCCGCGGCCGCGACCACCGCTGTCGAGTCCGTTCAGACGTCTGCTGCTGCCAGCACCTCCGAGGCCGCTCAGTCGTCTGCTGCCGCCACCACTTCCGAGGCTGCCCAGTCTTCTGCTGCTGCGACCACCTCTGAAGCCGCTCAGTCATCTGCGCAGGCTTCCACCACGGAGGCCGTTCAATCCTCGGCAGCTGCCACCTCTGCCCAGGCAACCACTACCGCCGAGGCCGTCCCTAGCTCCGCTGCTCCCACCAACGTCGAGGTCACCAACTCGACCGCCGAGGCCGTTTCTTCGACGCAAGCTGCCACGAGCGCCCAGGCTGCATCGAGCGAGGCTACCACGGCCGCATCTTCTTCTGGTATCCTCCTGGCTCCCACCGGCGTCGTGTCCGAGACTTCCAGCACCCAGGCTACCACCTCTGCCGAGCAAGCTCAGCGTTCTTCAGTGGCTGCGAACCCCGAGACTACCAGCGCGGTTCCCAACGTCAACGCGACCGAGCCCGTCGTTTCGTCATCCCAGAGCTCCGTCGTCCTTCCCGTTGAGACCACCACTTCTGCCGCCGTTCAGGTGACCTCTGGTGCCTCCACTGAGACCACATCTGCCGCCGTCTCTGAGAGCAGCAAGCCCACCAACCCGCTGGACCCCATTGTCTCCTTCGTCTCCAGCCAGGTTGCCGTTCCCACGAACCTCACCGAGCCTATCGCCAACGCGACGTCGTCCGAGGTCCCTGTTGCCTCGACGTCCGATGTTGTCATCCCAACGCCTACCGCGCTCCCGGCACCCACGGACCCGACCTCGACGAGACTTCCCATCCCGACTGAGCCTGTTGCCAACGTCACCTCCTCCGCTGAGGCCTCTGGCGTGCCCACCACCTCGCTCCCGGCACCCACTGAGCCCGTCGCGAACGCCACGACCTCTGTTGAGATCTCTACCGAGCCCACCAGCAGCAGCCTCCCCGTTGTGAGCAGCGAGCCCGCCGTCAACATCACCTCCTCCACCGAGGTCCCCGTGTCTGTCTCCACGACCGCTCTGCCCGCTTCCGATGTTGTCAACGCCACCTCGACCGAGGTCCCCGCCGGACAGACTACCACCAGCGCTCCGGTCACCATCACTGACAGCACTGCCATCTCTGTGCCGACGACCACGGCTACCGGCTCTGTTGAGATCCCCGTGAACACTACCTCTACTGAGACCTTCCCGACTACCACGCAGCTTCCGACCTTGTCTCAGCTGCCTACGGCTTCCACCACCATCAGCAACTCGACTCAGACGGACAGCTTGACTGTGGCACCCACGGTAACACCTTCCACCCTCTCGTCGACCTCCGTCGCCAACGAGACCGCCACGGCCACCAACGTCGTCCCCACTACTACTGAGTCTCTGACTACTGAGCCTGCCGCGACCACCACTCTTCCCGTGAACACCACTGTTCTCTCGGAGACCTTGATCGAGACCACGCCTACTGTCACTGTGCCGCCGCCTACGACGACTCCCATCATCACGAGCATCCCTGCCACGGCCACCATCACTGACTCGGAGTCTTGGTTGCCCAGCACCATCATTGTCGAGCAGTCCACTTCGCTCAGCACGCCCACAGAGGCCCTTGCCCCGACGTCGACCATTCCCCTGCCCTCTGACCTTCCCAAGGTTATTAGCGGCCCGGACCCGAACGTCGCGCAGCCCAAGGACACCATTCTCCTCCAGATTGGTTTCCTGCACGGTGAGAACTACCAGCACGTCAGCAAGAACCCCAACGCTGCTGCTCAGATCTTCACCTGCCTGCCCAAGGCTTTGGCCGATGCTGCTGGTCTGGACATTAGCCAGATCCAGATGACCAAGCTCGTCCCTTACGACACGTCCCAGACTCTCGGCTACATCACCACGCTCGCCAAGTTCTACTACCCCAAGAGCATGGTCGACACCCTGCGCATGGACATCAAGATTCCCAACTCGGCCATCTACAACAACCCCGATCAGCTTGTCTACAATCTCACTCAGAATATCAACCCTGCCATTGAGATCATTCCTGGCCAGGAGGATGACGGCACTTCCACGGGCGGAGACGGATCGTCGTCTACCTCCACCCCCAACAACCCCAATGACCCCTTCGGCACCGGTAACGACGGCTCCAACCAGTCTCCCATTCAAAAAGGTACTGCCGCCGCCATCGGTATCGGGGCTGTGGGTGTTGCTGCTGCGTACGGTGCTGCCATGTTCATTATTGCCCGCCGCTACAAGCAGAAGAAGCAGGCCCACCGCCGCGCCAGCTCCCTCACCTCATCCGAGATGCGCTACACTGGTGCTGGCAGCCCGCCCATGATGGGCGGTGCCCTGATGAGCCAGGACTTCTCCAACTACGGAGCCGCCGGTGGCCGCGAAAGCCACGGCAGCGGTCGTACGAGGGGAAGCGGGCCCGGCAACTCCGCTAGGACGGCCTACATCTCGGCCCCCGTTGCCGCTGAGAACTCTCTCGGCTGGAACTGATTGACGACATAGACGCCATTTCCATATCTGTCACCATTTTACGCTTCGATACCCTTCTGGAGGATCCTGTTTGAACAAGATGCTAGGCGGTTGCCCGGTATCCACCGACGGCATTTAGAGAGGGCACGCCCCCTCGGCCACGAGCCCCATCTGCTCGAGAGATTTCTTTCTTTTTTTGTCTTTTTGTCTACAAATACCCTTCTACCGCGGGTCGATCGATGTAGGTCGGCTCGTCGGCACCCTATTATCAAACGCACTCGGCGCCGTGTATCCTGCTCCGTCGCGGGCGGACACGGCTGGTGCGGGTCCATTTTTATTTTTATTTTTTAATATCTTGTATCTGTGTTGAGGATCTATACATGGGCCGAAGAGCTGGATGGTGGGAAGCATCACAATCGCGTCTTTTCACGACATGCGAGGAGTTGGAAAGTGGCTGGGAAAAAACGGCGATACCCTGGGGGAAAGGAATATAGGCCGGGCTTCCTTGTATATTTTTGCAGTCTGAGGCGTGGCCTCTTCACCTCGGTCCTTTTTTCTTCCCCCGGCCTGTCAAGCTGAGATGCCTGTGTGTGTCCGCGCATGGGTGTTTTCAGACAAGGGGTCCCCTTTTTGCCTGCAATGTCGCAGATACAGCGAATAGAGTAAGAACAAGAGAACGAGAGAACAAAAAAAAACAATATTAAAATCACTGCGTCCGAGGGTCCAGCGTGGTAATGTGTGCCGACCTGCGCAGGCTGTAAATAGATACCTAGTCATTAGTCGGTTATCGTATATATCCGTTTGCAGCACTTTGGTTGGTCCGGGGTTAAAACGTGCCGGGTGTATCTTGTTTATTTGATGCCCCGGGGAGTTTTTTCTTTTTGCAACCCCCCGTTTTGTCGTCATGCCTCGCTGCTGTCTTTCGGCGAGTACAAGGCGGCATTATTATGTTGTAGTAAGTAAGTGCGGCATGCAGGTCTCACTTGCCTTGTCTATTGGAAATAAACTAACACTCGAGTTCGACATTTGATTCACACTCATCAATCGACACGATAGCAGCAAGTCTCGTAGACTGCAGCCGATTGATTCTAAGGTGGTCGGTCGTTACGTAGAATACTTACTAGGAAACCCCACATCGCTAGGTCTAAAGTTGATGCAGCTATTGCTGACTTCGATGTCAGGAACATTTTATCGACAAGGTCACTGGGCCAATCTCTCAACAATCGCACATTTTTGCACCAAAACCAATGCATTGAGTATCCTCGCGACTGTTGGCGCCTTCCCAAATCCCATGTGACCGTTGTCACCTCTCATTCATAGCAATAATGCCCTACGACTGTTGTCGTCTATTCCTCCCACGTTGCGTCTATGATGACCTGCAACCATTACCACCTCATTCAAATCACGTACGACCGTGGTCGCCTCTCATTTACATCAATGATGCCTTACGACCGGTGTCGTCTTTTCCTTCCATGTCATGTCTATAATGACCTGCGACTGTTGCCGCTCACTCAGCCCTGCGGCGCTTGGCAACCACCAAGTGGTCCTCTTCATTCCTGGGTAATCTGTGCCTTTTCTCGTCTCCCACCACATGGAGCATAAAGTATGTGTGACCAACGGCGCCAATCTCCCAGTCGGAACCATTATAGGTTGCCTTGTAATGAGGGGGGAATTCAACACCTCGGCAAGCGAAGAGGCGGATTCGAACCGGTGTCGACTCGTTCCTGTAACACACAGCGGCATTCAGGACGAACGGGACTTGTTCAGAGGACGCGGCCTCAACCTGGAAAGTCTAGATCGAGTCCAACGTCTGCCTTTCGTCGGCGGCCGGGGGGGGTACTCGATCCGGATAAAACTCGACGGGCGCACGAGCAGGCGTTTGACCAAATCACCGGATAGCTGGTTGACCACGGCTCGCTTCTGGATCTCATGCCCCAAGTTCAGCGGACCTGACCCCGCCTCTCGTGCGACGCGGATGAAGCTATGATGAGCCTCCTTGCCGTCGTCCTCGTACACCCACTTCTTTCCTGATCGCGAGACGGCGCGAACAAACAACAGGCGGGCGGGCTTCTGTCACAGGAGCTGGGACACTTGCTCCGAATGAACGAGCTTTTCAAACGTCGCGGGGCCTGATGTCGGGCGTTGACTCCCTTTCCCACATTCAGTCTCCACCAAATTTCACAGTTTCGCGTGTTGGGCTCTCTGAGACACACGGCCCGGAACCCGCGGTCGTTAGTGGAATAGGTCTTTCTGCCGATGATCCGGCCACTATCCGGCCGCTGAACGCATTTTCAGGATGCCAATCATGTGTTGGCCGTCGTTCTCGCCAAGCACCCCATCAATCATGGCGTGCAGCTGATCGCGCGGGCCATTCATCACAAATACCTCGTCGGATCGAGTAAGGTTAACAATCGCGCCGTGATGGTCAGCGTCTTTTGTCACGCTGAACCCGGTGGTTCCCTATTCCAGACCGACGTCGAGTCAGCCAACGGCGGGCCTGCTCGAGGTCTTGCGCCGACGTCATTTGTTGGTTGGAAATGGTGAGCGGGATCGCTCGCGCCTCTGTTCCCCATCGCCGATGAGATCGTCTGTTCGAACTCTCGACTGCTGGCGCGGTCGCCGCGGTCTCTCTGTCTCGATGAATCGGAATTTTGCGACGACATTTCCTAGTGGTGTTAGCAAAAGGTCCAGCGAAGATTTTTGGATACGTACAAAAAGGCGGTTGTGTGTTTGTGTAAAGGCGAAAAAGATGAATCGGTGAGGTAGCGTGCTTTGTCTTGCCTACTTGTGAATGGAGAGCAAGGTCCGGCCCCCACTTCGGTGGCCTCCGTGTGTAGTCACCTCGGATCGGTCCGGCCCCATTGTTTCTGACAGCCGCCGACTCGAGCATCCGAGCAGCCGCCGGGTAGACTACGACAAATTCAACTAGGTCACGGGCAACGAAAGCACATTTCACAGGAGAAGTATTCCGTAATGGAAATTCAATCGGTTGCACTACCCACCCGGTGAATGCCTATTCACGCCTCCCAGTCGGGGGGCTCACTCATGCCCCTTGGTGTGCTCATCCATGCCTCTCAGCGGGCTCCTGGTGCCTTTCAATGCTCATCCCCGCCCCAGTGGGCTCCCCATATGCCCAATGCTCACCCAAGCCTCCGAAAAAATTGATCCATGTCTTCTCACAAGGGGCTTCTCGCAATCGCAGTCCCGGTCAGTGACTCCTCGTCCGCTGACTTGCCGCTCTCTGACTCCTTGCCTTCTGACGTGTCGTCCTCCGTTGTATCGTCTGGTAACGTCTTGTCCGAGGACTTTTTATTCGAATTTTTCGACTTCTTCTCCGTAACTTAAGGTCTGACAACTTCAACGCCGTCGTCAATGCATGCTCACGTTCGTTATCGGTGTAGTCTATCAAATCCCCATAGAATGAGGCCTTTGCGTGTGTGTCTTGCGCCACGGGGGCCACGTTCGTCACGGAAGGCATATCGAAAGCGGAGCCTCTCTGAGCCAGGGGGGCCGGGAGAACTTTCAGCTTTTTGATCCCAGTGGAAAGGCCTCCTTCAGCCGTGGTCGGCGTCGGGGTCACAACGTCAACCGACGGGTTGCCCTACGCGACGTCAAGATCCGTGGCACCAGACGGAGGAACCAGTGTGCCCTTTGACTTGTTCTCGTTTGGAGCCAACGGGGGCGTGGCGACCGCGTTCGCAACGTCCTGCGACGTCTGGGTGTTGTGGACCGCCGCATTAAAACCGATCTGCAACGTGTTTCTGCTGTTGCGGATATTATCCTCACTGGAGGCACTCCTTTCCTCTAACAATGGGGCGTAGTCGATGAACTGCTCAGCACTGTAGCGGTGTGTTGCCGGATCCTTGGACAACTTTTCTCTCTCCTTCTTCCAAAGCTTGTGGTCGAAGTTAACCCAGAAACGCTCCGACTGCTTCAATTCCTCGACAAAAGCCAAAGTCCAAGGATACACTCCCTGAAGGTCCCAAGATGAGAGTCCCTGATCAATTCTTTCCTTCTCCCACATGATCCAAGGCTTCCGGGAGCGGATGGGGAGCATGTTGATGCGGCGGTAGAACACGATCTCGTACTGGTGCACCCAACCGAGCTCTCCAGAGCGCTTGCAGTCATCCCAGTTATGAGCAGTCGTGTTGCATAATGGACAGCCCAAAACAAACCCAGACTCATCCGGGATCAGACAGTCGCAGAGATAGTGGTGCTTGTGCCCACATGAGCCGCAGACGGCAGTGATCTTGAATCTCTTGCTGTGATCAAGACACTCTATACGATATCTCTCATGTTCCCAGACATTGCCAAAGATATCTGGCAGCTTACTCCCTCGCAGAACAGCACGTTTGACCAGCTCGACCTCGACTTCAGGCATGGCAAGAATTCGTTGATGCTCCTGCATGCGATTCCGCGGAAGCTGCTGAGGTCTCTGATCCAGGGCACCCTAGCATTTGACACTGTGAACTCACGAGACGCGAGTTGCTACCCGGCAAAATGACAGGGCATCTATGCCATTGACGTATACATTGAAAATCGAGGTGGGAAGTTCCTAGGTTACGACGAGATAACCCGCGTCATCACCGAATTGAAGGTTTATATCAAGGCATACAGGATCAACTTGCGAACTCTACATGGTCAGCAGGCTGAAATTGCTGAGAGGATGCTCTTCAAGAAGGCATATGCCTTTTATGATGCATTTGGGACCTCGGCGACCGACAAGACACGTCTGATTAGCAACTCTGCCGACTTCTTTGTGGCTAATATCTTAGTGAAGGCGCTCTAGCGCAGACAGCGTGCGGCTACGGACCCTCGTCAATTCAGTGTGCATCAGATCCAAGGCATGCAGTATGTCGGATGCTCCGGTGACCTTGGTACCCGGGTGCCCGTTTACGCGGCCAACAATGCCCTTGGAGGCAAGCGCACGCTAGACCCGACCTCGATCAATACGCCGTTGATACTTCTTCTTTCGGCCATCAAGGCTTCTGGGCTGGTGCCCAAGACGGTGTCGAGAGTGATACTTAAGACCTGGGAACCCCGATTGCTGCCCATAGCAGAAAGGCTCGTCATCTCATTGGCGCGATCCAACTATTTACAGGATGGCTTGAACGTGGCCGAAGGCGGCGGGCAAAGGGGCAAAGACGGGGTCTCAACCATGCGTCACATGGAATCTGAAGTGTTGTGTGTGCGGCCCTACTCCAACCCAAATACTCAGCTTTCCGTCGCCGACCTTGAGCAGAGACGCGTGTTTCTGGACAACCTCAAGGCGATTGAAAGCGCGAGGGGGGATATTGTGAAGCTGTTTCGTGAATACGACGAGCACAAGCTTACGCTGGACAGACTGCTGAAGCAGTGGGAGACCGAGCTGAAGAAGGTCATGAAGAGCAAGACGGACAGTCTGCGATTGCAGCACACTGCGGTCACTGCCGAAGAGCTTCAATGGCAGAGGCTCGACGATATCACAATGAGGGTGTGTCTACGCCTGGGGATACAAGACGAAGAAGTCGAAGACGTCGAAGAAGTTGAGGGTGAAGATGAAGGGGCCATAATCGTGGACTAGCCCGTGGCGTGGTAGAGGATTCCCTTGTAGGCGTTCCTAACACCGTGGAGTAGACCGTCATGGGCATCGTGCCGTCGTGGGCGTTTTTCCGTCGTAGGGAGGCCACTGTGGGCGTGACATCGTGCAGTAAACGTCGTGCCGTCGCGCCGTCGTGACCACCGTAATTGAGACCAACCGTGGTTAGATAGGTGTGTGGGCGTTGATAATAAAACTTGTTTCTTGTGGAAACCGTGTGCGATTATGTGTGTACTTCGTTTGTCTCGTCTATTCCGGTCGTATGTATTCAAGTTTGGCGATCTAGACGGCATCAGTCAGCTTTATTTAGTCAAAGGTGCTCATTATCGGGGTGAAGACATAGCAGCGTAATGATTAGAACTCAAGGGTAGGCGTGTTATGAGAAAGCTGCAGAGTGATTAGCTCATCGCCGTACCCAACAAATACTTGACACTCACTTGCCAAACGTGGCCGTGTGGCACCTTCTCATACACATTTTCACATCTCACTTGAGAAATGAGAGGGTCCATGAACTTCATCCTGGCCAGCCCAGGTGTATAACCCATGGAGATCTCCCCCCCATATCGGCTTCTCACACAGCATCACACCATTAAGCAAACATCTCTCGTAGTGTATAATAGACTGATTGGCCTTTCCTCACTTATATGTTGCATCCGGCCACGGGCCCGCCACCGCATTCACCACTAAGACCCGCGGGCGTTCGACTCGTCGTCATCCCGCAACTATTCTACCTGGCCATAGTACTAGATATTAGTGGACAACAGATCACGAGGTTACAAGCCTCCGTGAACGGATGTCGCGTGGTCAGGATTCCTTGACGTTAGGAATAAGTCTACCCGCGAACAGAGCAAAACGCGGTCGAGATAATCCCACGCCATAGCCATCCCAGAAAACGCCTTAGCTAAAGACATCACAGGCACAACTAAGCGTTTATGATAGTCCTGACCCCGTCACTGTGGCTAACTCCAAGATAAACAACTCTTTATAAGAGCTGACTCGCGGCTGTTCTTCCCGGGCCCTACAAGTCAACAGGCCTGTAACCAGGAACGCTACAGACGTACGACTCATCGAGACCAGGCGCCAGGTAAGGATAGTCACTATGATTGTCTGCACCGCTCGCGAAAGGCACGTTGATGGGCTTATTACCGCGAGTTCCGTCATTTCGACAAAGAGCCCCTTACGAGGGTGAGAATCCTCGCGCCTCATCTCTACAAAGACGAAGACCGTCCCCGGGGCCGTCTTCATACCACGTCGATCATGGGATCCGCGCATCTCAGCTGCGCCTCCCTCACATCTCTAAGCGTTGTACTAGCCCCTCCAAGACGGCAGGCGTAGACCCAGGATCGAAGCCCCATGGAAGGCGTGATGGAATCGATGCACCAACTACAGCTTGTCAAATGGCATTCATCGCAGGGTCACAACTCGTTCATCGTTTCCCCGTCGAAGGGCCGTCAGTGTTCCTAGCCGGCTTCGCTTGAACGGCCTGGAGTAGAGAGGCATGCCTGCGTGCATCTATATCATCTCCGGGGCCGATAAGGAACCAAGCAGCGCCTTGGGTGTATGTGGCTCGGACGACACTGAGGACCAAGTGTTCGCCCGTTGGCTTTCCCAGCAGCCTCCGCTCGCTGGCGTCGCCCCTATAGAAAGCAGCCGATACTGCATCAGCGGCCGGGCCAGCGTTGACTTGGCGTTCTGGGCCTCTCAAGCTGGGCGGCCAAACGATCGCGGTCAAGGTTCGTTCGTCGTGACTATTCCCAAGAATCACATCGCAGGAAACTGCTTCGAATGCCAAGGCTCTAAAAAGGCCAAACATCACCTTCCTGACAACAGCTTGGCATTTGGTTACAGTTCAGAGAGGTGCACGCCCTTTACTCTACCTAGAACAAGCCTTGGGCCAGTGAGGTAGAGGCGGCTCCACGTCGCAGCATCCTTTTGTCTCAATACCTCCATGTATGGTGGGTTCTCTCACCACCAACGGACTGAGAGAAGGTGTCGCTTCAGAGTGGTCAAGGACGACCTAAGAGTGTTGACGAGCAGATCAACGCCTGAAATCTTCTCATCAAGCATACAACAACAGATATATCTCCATGAGTTTCACGAACGCGGCACCGAGTTCGAAGCACATGCGGCCGCATTACTCTAGGTCCTTGTCGAAGCTCCGACACCCCATACGGAGAGGTCCCGGGGCCGTTTGAACCGTACCGGATTACCTCAACTGATTTGCTCAACATTGAGAATGCCCTGACTCCTATGAGCTTCCTTGATCTTCCCATCTACGGCGGCACAGAAGGCATCCGCTGGCGTGAACTGTTATATAAATATGACGAGGCAGACAAAATCGCAACTGCGACGACCGTGTGTGCACACCTCATCTCAACGTGGTCGATGAGCGCATACCGCTCGCGGCGAAGTATACGAGGAAGACGAGAGGGAGATGACAGAGACAACAGGTATCGAGGCCTTGCTCACAACCCCGGGCCTGCATGACGCCGCCGCAGTCGATCGGTAAATATGGGTGATCTTGAGACTAAAGTCTAGGTCGCCATCGTGGATGGCCAAAAGGGCCTGCCAATCGAAGAAAGGCTGACTATTGAGCAAGCTCAAGGCCATATTGATGCCTCCAGGCTATACGCCTACGCTGCATGACCGCAAGATCATGCCCCTCGAAGAAAGCGTTACCACTGGGAAGGCTTCACTCTTGCGAAAGGCGTAAAGCGCCGTGGGTTCATGGCTAGGTATAGATAGGGCGATCTATTAGACCCTCGTTTGTCGTGGTCCCGCGGGAGGCTCGGGCTGATGGGTTCGGCAGATGGCATGTTCCATGATGATGCGGTAACCAGTCTGTTCATCTGTAAGTCTACGACCGAGTTTTTTAGGTGCCCACATCTCAGGGAGTGGGCAGCACCCAGCAAGCCCACCCTCGAGGACGTTAAAACTAAGTATTTAACGTGAGATGTGGCGCTGCTGGTTTCAGCATGGCATGTTCTTATTGGGTTCCTATTGACCATGGACGATCTATGTGGATGCGGATCAGCGACCCCGACTCGTTGATCGACTACGATGATGGCGCCTGCTCGTTGCCCGCCGATTCCGTCACCAGGGATATCGATGACCTCGTAAAAGGGCCACTGGCTGTAGTGGGAGTATACTGGCGGATATGTACATAGCTGGCCTATGGCTACATGAGCTCGGCAACTCCTAGGTCTCGACGAATCGATATGGCGAGCTCATACGGCTTGGTCGGGGGACCTTTGGTGAGATTGTTGAGAGGAAGGGTAGCCAACACCGACGGCATCTTTATTTCTACGACAAGGACCAAGGTGTTGGCTCGACTCGACATGACGAGCTCAGAAACGAGTACGTTAGATATATGCTCGAGAGCAGGAAGATCAATTCGGGCACAGAAGCAGCGTTTGGGAGCGATAGGATCACTGAACAATGCGAAACACCCCAGGGCCTTGATCAGCAAGTCGATGCCGTTGGGAAGCTTTTCCCTAAAGCAACCCATAACAACGGCATACGTTTGTTTCGGAGCCACGACGTGGTCGGAGCTGAGGCTGGATATTCCTCATGCTGGCATAGAAAGGGTTGTGGGATCAGGACGGCTCACCGAGAGTCATGGCCAACAGATAGCCAACAGAGCAATAACACAGATAAGATCTTCACAGTGTGATCGTCCGGTAACTGAGTGTAACCAGCCTAGGTATCGCATGGGTGCCTGGCTCTGTTTAGCCAGTAACCTTTCCAGGAGCCGCACGCATCCGACGAAGCCAAATAAACTTGCCGCGTACTACTTGTCGTGACACTCGCCTCGAGGCTGTGACGATGCATACAATGGACGTTGTTGCTGTGTAGTTGGCGAGCAGCTTGCCGTGGCAGCACTCAGCTACATAATGACAGAATCCACTTCGCATCACATCACAGGTTGGGCGATTGGTTTAGTGGTATAATGACCGCTTAGCATGCGGTAGGTCCTGGGTTCGATTCCCAGATCGTCCAAAATCTTTTGTACATTGCGTGTTTTTTGCTTGATTCGACAAAGAAAATGGCAACGAAGATGTCGCGCTTCAGTTAAACAACCTCCCAACTGCCCTGAAGCTAATGTGCGCACGAGTCGCGATCTGTTGACGATGCAGAGTCACGCAACGTATCAAGGAGCTCCGTATGCCTCATGCGGTGATCCACTTTAAATCACGGAAGCAGCTTCATCATCGCATTCAAATTGTTTGCACTCCATTATTGATACTGGAGCTAATAGCAACACAGAGAAGAGCCCTACTAGCCCGTCCGACCAACGCCTAAGCCATGTTATTGCATTCGTGAGATGTAGCAAGTTTTCCGAAACGCCAGATATCCCGGGGCCGTCCACCCTTATAAATGTTACAGTTCAATCACGCCTCCTTGGCCACGTCGCTGGTCGAGGGCGTCGCAACATCCTCACCGACAGCGGCAGCTCTGAGGTGTGATGGGTGGGCGGGCTCGCTGGGGTTGCCTTGGGAACTGGTCGCAGGCAGCAGATCCGTCAATTGTTTCTCTAAATACCCCATTAGCACCGACAACACCGGCGCATCTCGAGAAACTTACCCAAATCTCTTATGCGGTGACGGAGCATCTGATTCTCTCGGACCAGCATCTGGGTCTCGGCCTGGTAAAAGGCGCTTTCATCGCGACCGCCGAGGGTGTACTGTTCGCCGCTGTCGCCGCTTATAGATGTTGAGCGCAATCTCGGAGAAGCGCCGCGACTCGGGGTTCGAGAGCGGCGTTGGATATCTGCTCTTGCCATGTCAAAGGAGCTTCGGGGATGGGGCACAACCGGGGATCGCGAGAAGGAGCCCGAGGAGGGCAGCGGAGCGAAGCCCGATGGCGGCTGCGAAATGGGGGTTCCGTGGTTGGATCTCTCAGAAGCAATCGCCGAGTCCTCGACTGCGGAAGAGTTCTGTCCCTGGCCAGCTTGGAGTTGCTGGAGCTGCAACTGCTGCTGGCGGATCATCTGGAGGAGGCGGTTCTGTGTGTGTCAGCTTGTATCATGTTCGATGCAAACCTAGACATACGACTTGAGCTTCCTGCTCGGCTTCAAGCTCCTGGTGGAGCTCTCCCAGACTGGGCGCCCGATTGTGATGGGGGTCACCACCAGGAACCATCATGGGCGAGGTTGTCATGGGCTGCGGACTGGCGGTTGTGGCGCCAGTCTGCCCGTGTTGGTTATCTGCGACCATCTCACCCGGGCCGGGAAGAGAAGGATCGTTAAGCTGCAGGTTCATGAGAACCGTAGACAGTCTTCGGCCGGCGTTGGGTGACTGTCGACTTCGAGATACGGAACCGCTGGAGGAGCCTGGTTCAATTAGCGAGTGTTTTCCGATGCAGTAGGGATTACACACGTCGAGAGGGTTCGTTTTGAAGGCTAGCATTCAACGTAGCTGCGGCTTGCAGCGAGGTCGACTGGCGTCGCGGCGAGCCAGCGGGGGACTCCCCACGAGGAGCTGGACCGCCGTCCGCAGGAGGGAGAGGAGCTTCGCCGTTGGTGGATGACATTCTGGATCGGATGGGCAGAGATGGAGGAGATGAAGGAAGAGAGTTCAGGTCTGGTGCCATGTCATTTGTGAAGGACTATCTTGGTAAATCGAGTGGCTGATGAGGTGCCAGGCAGTTGAAGCGAGGGATCGTCGTCGCGATGGTCGCAGCTACCTATGCGGTGACAAGCGGGAAGGTGGGGTGAATGTGCGTCAGAAGTGGCGCGTGAGGTACCCAGTGTGAGGTAATGCCGGGGAGCGGTAGGAGCTATGGGAGCTGGAAGAGGTTGAGGAACTCGAGGAGCCTGAAGGATTCAGAGGAAAGGATAGCAAAGGGCATCAAAGGCTGAACACAGTCATTGGTGGCATGCTCTCTGGATGTCTGGTGACCGACGATTCCTGAGTCTTAAGTCCTTCATTTTTGCAGGTCACGAGTGATATCGGTCGATCAACGAACCGCAGCAGCAGGTGCTTCCAAGTTGAGGGGCAGCGCACCAAGGCACCTTCCAGGTTCACTTCCTTACCTAAGGCGGTAGGTGTCCTAGGGTGACATCTTGCTCCCCACGAATCAGAGTGCCTGAGGTACCTAACGACGGGGGACCTTCTTCGACTGCAAATTCTTAGTCATCCTAACCTGACGATGATGGCACCACATCCATCATGATCCATCATCCGGATAGACCGTGACCATAGGAGGCCATGGTCCCGTTTGCAGCCGTCTTTACACGCCAAATGCCATCTCCTTTAGCCGCCTGACTCTCGCCAGCTTAATAAGGGTCTTGCCAGACTCTCTCGCGAAAATTACCCGTGACTCCGGAGTCCCAACTCACGGCCCTGAAATCGCCTATACCTACCTGTTCAACGTCGCCTTGACCCGGCAAGCGACGGCTGCCGTTCGTGTACGTTTCCCACCTGAAGGGAGCTCTGGAAACAGTTAATCCAGCCGGCTGGCGCGCTGTCACCGAAGAGACTTGCGAGCGGTCTCCCGTTGTTTATCTTCCGGTGTCTATTCTCGTCGGGGTCCGTTCTAGCTGGAGCACACAGGTCTCAGGTGAGCACCATGCGCAAGCGGCAAGCCGCCGCCTGGGTGAGGTGATGCGCAACGGGGCCTAAGCTTTCTATTCTGGACATGTCGCCGCTAGATCTCCCGCCAACGCCGCCGGGCTGGGCAACCGTCGCAGCGACCGCTCCCGATCATGGCGCCGCCATGGCCTGTCTGGTAGAGTTGTTGGCCTTTGATGTCCAGCCCCGAGGGACCGGCCAGCGGCTGGTGGCGTCGATGCCCTCAAAGCCTATGTCGCCATGCCGGAGCTAGAATGGCGTAACGCATACCTCGCTGGCAGTCGCTCTCGCTTGTGACGATTCGGCTGCCAGGCACAATCCGAGATAGACCTACGTGCTGTCGTCTCTGCAAACAAAGAAACGCCACTGTGGATGTGGCCATTCGGTGGACCGTGTGACGACGGGCTACCGTAGTTGACCGTTGTCGCTATCAGATTTGTCTGACTTTGAGACATACGGATACATCGCCATAGCACCTTTACGAGTTGACGCAACGCTGGAATGTGGCCATCAAGCCCGCCAGTTTGGTTTCCGCGCTGCCCCGGCCTTACGACTACGGACGTAGCTTGCGAACCATTCGGCCGTGACGGAGAAGCACGTACAGCTGCGCGCCCATGGCAGCAACTGACACACGTCGTGAGCCTCAGTAATCGAGTTGGCACGCAGCGGTTGCCTTGGAATGTGACCACCGTTACGCTTGCAAGCATTCGCACCACTAAAGCGGTTGGATCACAGTTGCATTCATGATGTGCAGTAGCCGTCTAGCTAGGGCGCGATACAGAGACCCCAACGCCTAGTCACAGGCCCAGCAATACGCAGATAACGTGGCCGCCCTCTTATCTCGATATCTTGCATCATGACCTACGTACGTAGGGATTGACAGTCTGACCACGACAACGTTGAAGCCGTCAAAGTCAAATCCCAACGCCCATACCGAGCAGCCATCGCCACAAGCAAGCCGGCGCGTCGATCGGATGAGCCCGGATGCTGCTGCAGTAGCTCGTTGCCCGCGGGTGCCTTACGGACTTTGTGGTCACCAAGACTGCAGACAAGAGGTTCATGGAGCCGTACGTAGTAGCCTTGCGGACAGGGGCATGCCTGCTTCGAGGTCACGAAAGAACCCGGCTCGCTGGTTGGTTTTCCGGCGACCAGGGGGCTTAGACCCAGTCGGGCCCCGAGAGGTATGGATAACTGGGATAAATGGGAAGACGCTACTGCAGGAACAACGCGACTCCAAGAACACCATCGCACCAGGTCTTTCGTGTGCGATCCCTAGGGCAGGGCTGGAAGTTTCTTCTTCATGGTTTGCACGGCGTTCGGCAACGAGATTTGTGCTGCCGACGCTGCGTTATCGGCGTTTGGAGTTGGATCTTTGGTCCGAGACAGAAAATCACTAAGAGATCGAAAAACAGGGTTGAAACCTGTACGTAGTGCTCCGTAAACGGCTGTCGTGGTTGGGGTCCGCCCTGGACACAACATATCGGGGCCCCATCCGGTAGTGCCTGCGTGGCCTCGTTATCAACAGGGTCGGTTCGATATTGAACGATCCGAAGAGCCTCTTCCGAGTTGCTCGATATCGTCAAATAATTGTGGGATAATTCGGCCACGACAACAGATCTCATTTACAATCCGGGACCAGCGGAAACTTTTCCGGGGAAAAGTTCAGAGTCGCATTAGCTCGCAAAATGCACCTGGAGATGCACCGTGGGACACTCTGGGCACCGTTGCTTGGGATATGATGCTGCGTATCTGCACGAGCGCCGCGTTCTCTCGTCTCGCAAAGGGCTGGATGGCATCTGCAGTGGCCGAGCGGTTCGCAAACATTAGCCCATGCAGAGGCAGCCCACGTTGGAGGCGGTAGGATGCGATGTTCTCGGCAGGATTGGGGATCACCAAGTCGCACGATGTGCTCTCGCCACGCGTCTGTCTCGATACACTAGGTATTGGGACTTGACCCATCGTTGATCGATTTCGGACCTCACCTTCCATGGAGGATCACCACTCGTTAGCCCTCCCAAGTGGCGATGGTGGCTTGCGAGAGTGTTTCGCAAGGTGTCAAGAGTCGACGCCATGGATCGCACCAGAGAGAAAGGAAGGCTAACATGATTCTAGACGCCGACGTGTTGGACCATGGGGGGGATTGACACAGAACACGGGGAAGGACAGGGCCGACGAGCAAGCGACGGGGGGGTTGAGATGCAACGACTTTGAGTTGGTTGATCCGCTTCGCCGCGCCTCCAATCTTGGCCAAGGGGCTGGCTTGGGTATTTCAAGGTGAAGCTGCAACTCGGATGCTTGGCAAGACGACTCGAGTGGATTTCATCTTTTGCTGGAACGAAAGCCTTGTCATCAAGGGGCCAGGTCGTGGGGCTGCGGCAGGCGGTGCACATCTTCATAAGGTTCGCAGAGGGAGGATGTCATACGGGAATGGCCGCTTGGACAATTGCCCGGATTGAAGTTGTGCACGAGAGTCATCGTTGTGCACCCCGCCGGCGCCTACGACGAACCCTGCCGCGAGGAACCAACATGACCCAAGTCTTGGGACTGGAGAGAGAGCGGCAATCCAAGGAAGCGCGGATTCAACAAGCGACCTCAGGTAGTAGTCGGAAGCCAAGGTTTCGAGAGCTCGGAGAAATGAGAAATGGCGGTGCTAGAAGGGAAAAAGGGCCATGCGCAGGGACCCAAGCTCCCAAGCCATCATCTGTGCAGAGGGTTCTCGTGGTTCTAGGTGCCGTGGGTGGGCGATTACAGGATTGAAGGAAGCGGGAAGGGGGGAAGCTCCGACACGTCGGTGGCAGAGGCTATGCTGCGTTGGTGGTGATGAGTGTGGTGTGACTTGTCAGTCGTCATTCATGACTGATGGAGGGCGCAGATTTCTGATTCAGATGGATGTCGGTTCTTTATTGCAGATTTTTCCTTTCTTGTTTCCCCTTGAGCTCATTTCATATATTTGCTTTTCCAAACATCCAAGGTGCGGTACGGAGTACTGGGTGCCAGGTGGTTCGCTCCGGGGTGGGGAAAACATTTCCGTTCCAGGATGTCTGCTTCGGTGCGGTTGGTAGATGAGTGGGGGAGCCATGGCCCGTCAGGCCCTTAGGGCCCAGGCCAAGAACCACTGGGAAGCTTTGCCCAGAAAGGATCTATGCCACATTTAGCAATGGAACGTCGTTATTTGCCCCTGCAGGAAAGGCCAGAGCTGCCCGCCCCGTCGGAATTTGGACGAAATCCGTGACGATGATTCGTTGCGGAGGGTGAGTACTTGTAGGGTGGCTTTTTGGCGTGTTTCCGTTTATGAGATACGTACCGACAGGAAGGAAGTTGTTCTCAAAACATCCCCGGAATAATTCATACTACGTAAGGCACTTTACGCAGGTTGGGAGCATGGGACACCGGTCCTTCAGCGTCTGTTCGCCTGTTCGTCCTTTCTTCTGCCGCGTCCCAAGGGTGAACCCAGCTTCTGTCTTGTGAACTTGAGCATGGTGACATGGTAGACCTGTGCTCCGTAGTGCGTACACAACTCGTACATGGCAACGAGAGACGAGTTGTTTCTTGTTTTTGTTTGGGTGTGGTTGCACGGAGGATGGAAAATGCTGTGAAAGGCCACTTCTCGTCGTGGGCAACCGCAGTATCAGTCGTGTACCCGATGGAACGCTTCAGCTCATTGTTTCTCTCGTCAGGTACGTTTTGTATACGAAGTAAAGGTAAGGCAAGGTGACCGTGAAGCAAGGTATATGCAGTAAGGTAGAGCATCGCGCCCTGCGTCTTATCAAAGGTACGTACCCTGAAGCTCAATTTCAGAGGGATCACCAAAAGACAGGATCACCGGCGTCGTATCGTCATTTCGTGGGCTGCTGGTGCTGCCGACCGGCGAAAACCGACCCAGGCCTGGCCCTCAATAACTTCAGTCTGTCAGGGTGTCACTTTGAGATTGTCAGTTCACTGTTTAACTCCATCGTTTTA